TGTTATCTCTTCGAAGCTGCCGGGCAACCAGGAGTTCAAGACTGCCGTCGAGAACCTGTGCGAGTGGGGGAACCAGGAGCTACAGGATTTCGAGGACCAGCGGCTGAAGTTCATCAAGATGATGATCAAGGAGTTCAGGGCCCCGTCGGACTTCCTCGAGACTGTGCCCGAAGGGGGGGAGGGCGTGGACGCGCAGAGCGAGGTCGGAGAGGCCGGAGCGCATGTCGGCCCGCAGCGGCCAGGCCGCTAGCCACGTGCGCCGAGGAGCAATGAGATGTCTGAGGACTTCTGAGGCCCGCCAGGGCCACCAGCCTCAATGACGCACGATTTTTGTTTTTGATCAGTGCTAATCGTAGTGATTGTGTAGACACGTGCGGCCCTAGCGGGCCCCCTCTGGATGACCTCTGAAGTAATGGGGGCCCAGCTGGGCCTAGATGTGATCTGTGCGCGTTGAGTCTGTGCTGCAGCATTTTGGCTTGCCTCGGGGCGAGGTAAGGTGGGGCGGGGGCCCCGCTCTCGAAGCCATCTGCAGGGGGACTCAAGGCGCACTCCCCGCCCGCGAGCCGTCTCGCTCACTCCCACCCGCCCTCCCGACACATACGTGGCACCTGAGCCTGGCCCGAGCCGCAGTATATGCAGCAGTCGTCTTTGGATGGGCAGCTAGTGGGGGCCAATCCGCCGCCGCCGCCGCCGCCGCCGCGCCCCGCCGTCGCCGCCGCGCCGCCGCCGCCGCCGCCGCCCACCGCCGCCGCCGCCGCGCCGCCGCGCCGCCGCCGCCGCCGCCACCGCTGCCGAATCGCCCGCCGCCGCCGCAGCCGCCGCAGCCGCTGCCGCAGCCGCCGCCGCCGCCGCCGCCCGCCGCCGCCGCCGCCGCCGCCGCCGCCGCCTCCGCCGTCGCCACCGCCGCAGCCGCCTCAGCCGCTGCCCCCGCCGCAGCCGCCGCCGCCGCCGCCAAGTGTACTCTGATATTTTTTGACAGGGATGGTGGGGGGAGGCCGCGTCGGGTTCGCCGCGCATGCTCCGACTTTGGAGGCAGAGTGTTTTCTGTTTTTAAAAGCAATATATATATATATAAGTATATATATGCGGGTTGGCTCCCAGTCGCCAGGTGGAGGGGGTGTATATGAATAGGGGACAATGATGAACCTCTCTCCGAAGGGGAAGAGGGAAGGGTGGAAGAGGAAACGCCCTAAACCACCTTCGCCCAGAGGGCTGCTGGGACTATGTCGTTAATTTTGCAAGGGCTTGGGGGACCGTTTGGGCTTGTCTTTTGGAGCCCTTGGGGGGCTCTTGGGAGCCTCTTGGGGAGCCTCTTGATGGCTTCTCGGAAGTTTTTGGGGGCTTCTTGGAGGCCTCTTGGGGCCTCCTGGGAGCTTCTTGGAACGACCCTAACGAGTCTGTTCCGCCAACGTTCGTACTGGTAGCCTCGGTGTTCAGAGATTGTTGCGTTGCCGCTCGCCCATGGCACAGCATGCAGCACGGGATGCCGATGCGCCTGGCGATTTGCATTTGGATTTGCTTATCGATGTGCATGTCGATTTGATTTTCGATATGCATTTTGATTTTCATTTCACTATTGGTCTCACTACCGATCCCACGATCGATCTCACGATCGACCGTACTATCGATCTCCCTCGATCGATCTCATTATCGGTCTCATTCGATCGATTTCACTGTCCATCTCACTCTCTATCTCGTTTTCGATCCCCCCCAATCGCACTATCGATATCACTCCATCGATCTCACTATCGATCTCACTATCGATACCACTCCATCGATATCACTCCATCGATCTCACTATCGATCTAACTATCGATCTCCCTATCGATCTCACTCGACCGATATCACTACCGATCTTGCTCAATCGATCTCACCATATATGCCACTATCGCTTTCACTATCGATCCCAGAATCGATCTCACCATCGATCTCACTCGATCGGTCTCACTCTCGATCTCACTATCGATTTCACAATCGATCTCGCAATCGATCTCACTATCGGTCGCACCATCGTTTTCGCACCAGCGGGACACCGGGACACCAGCGGGACACCGGCGGGGTACCGGCGGGACACCGCGCGGCCCCGTTTGCCGGTCGGGAAACATTTGGTCCGGCCGCGCCTCAGCCACAGGAAATTTACCCGGGCACCAGCGGGGCGCCGGCGGGGCACCGGCGGGACACCGCGCGGCCCCGTCTGCCAGGGGGGGGATCATTTGGTCCGGCCGCGCCTCAGCCACAGGAGACTTTCCTCTCGCTCACCCGCGCAGCTTCGCCTCGCCCGCACGCACGGCACGCGCGAACACGAATCCGAAACCGATTTCCCGGCGGGGGGCTCTCCGTTCAATTTCGATCTCACCCGCCAACTCCGATCTTTTTATTGATTTCGCCATCGATCTTACTATCGATCTCTCTATCGATCTCACTCGATCGATCCCATTATCGATCGCACTCAATCGATCTCACCATAGATCTCACTATCGCTCTCACTATCCATCCTGCAATCGATCTCACCATCGATCTCGCTATCGATATCACAATCGATCTCACAATCGATTTCACTATCGGTCTCACTGCCGTTTTCGCACCAGCGCGACACCGAGACACCAGCGGGACACCGGCGGGGCACCGGCGGGACACCGGCGGCACACCGTGGGGTCCCGTTTGCCGGGGTGGAATCATTTGGTCCGGCCGCGCTAGCCACAGGGGACTTTCCTTTCGCCCGCCCACGCAGCTTCGCCTCGGTGCGCGGGGGGTGGGGGCCCACCGCGGTCTGTATACGCGCCAATGTCGCAGGGCCTAGCAGGCGTGGCACTTTCTCGACACAGGAGGGGTGCGTTGCAAGCTCCCAGGGCGTGGCAGGCGTGGCATCTCTTCGACGCCACAGGGGGTGCGCTGGGGGTGGGGGCCCTGTGCGTTGCAGGCCCCCAGGGCGTGGCAGGCGTGGCATTTCTTCGACGCCACAGGGGGCTTGACAGCAGAGAGGGTACGTAGGTAGCGTAGCAGCCTTGACATTTTCTGGGGTCTATATCTTGGGCAGTATGCACCGGTGCCTCAGGCGTGCATGCGGCAGAACTATTCTCAGCAAGGTTAACTGTAGACACCTCGGCTCAAGCAGGCTCAAAGACAGCAGGCGCCCACAGGCATGCCCCCAAAATGTGCAGTGGCCGAATTGCCCCTTGAACTGGATGGTCGAGATGAGCGTCGACATTAGTCTGGCAGGGTTGCAAGAGCACATCGAAAAGCAGGGCATGGACAGGTTCACCAAGTTCGCGTTTGAAGCTTACGGCCGCCAGCTTCGAAATCGGTGGCCGGGCACGCTTCGCAAGAGGTATAGTGACTTGCCGCATCCAGGAACGAACGACGATGGCAGGGGGCAGTGCCTGGTGACGTTCCTGATGGACCCCGGGCGGGTTCCCCCAGGAGGCTCTTTGAGCCGACGGCGGCGGCCCGCCGGCGAAGGTTCGGCGAGTGCGCGAGGCCGGCAGCGCGGCGGCTGACGCAAAGGCCCCCGCCGCAGCGTATGCCACGCCTATGCAGGCTACACCGACGAAGGACGCGCCGACGAAGGCCCCGCCCATGCAGACTTGCACTCCGCAGCGGTCCCCGGCCTTGCTGCTGGCTACCTCTGTTCGTTCCCTCGGCACCCCTCGCACTCAGCGTTCCCCCGGGCCCGCGGAGGCGGACGAGCGTTGGAAGAAGGGACCTTGGTCACGGAGCCTGCGACAGTCGGTCGCGGTGACCTGTGTGCGCGCCCTGGCGGATAAGACAGCTGTCCGATGGTGCAATTCGTTTGCAGAGAAACGGGCGGTGGATCCACAGTTCCAGCCGTCCAAGAGGGGTACCGATGCAAACGCGCGGCAGGCTCTCAACAGGTACTCCAACGGCAACCACCCGAGCTACGAGATGGATGTTCCCACCCTATCTCAGGGGGCGCAGGGTTCTCCCACCTGATGGAAGCTGGGGGCGAAGAAGTTTCCAGGGCTCCCCGTCCACTCCTCCGTCCAACTTCAGCCGCCTTCGCCCTCGCCCTGCCGTCTCCGGCTGCTCAGTGCGTCCTGGCCCCGAGGGGATCAGGCAGGGCTGAGGCCGCGGAGGTGTGTCGGGGGTGGGGGCTGGGAGCGGATCCGGATGGTCTCCACCGCCCACGCTGGCAGACTGCGGTATGCCTTGCAAGGGCTGGATGGTTGACCCCAGGGCAGATCCCTTGCACAGCTCCCTGTCCGCACTCATATGCGCCCGCTCGGGAAACCTCTGGTGCAAGGTGGGGTGCCCTCCTCCCCTGCTACCCCTGGAGATCGCCAGGGAGGTGGGGGGGGCCCTCCTTCCACCGGAGCTGTTGTCCCCTGTGCGCGGATGTGGGGGCCGACTGGTCAGGCCGCGGCTGGTTCACCTCCCGGCTGCCCTCGGGGTGCTTTCCCTGCAGCCCTCAAAGAATGCCCGCAGTGGCCACAGCCAGCCTTCGCCTGTTCGCATTGCAGCCTGACGTGCTCGACGTAGCTAGCGCCAAGTTCTACGGGGAGGTGGGCGACGTCGCCCCCTGGCGTTGGACGTTTCGAGCTGCTGCGGATCATCATTGCGTCGACTCTCTGCAAGACGTGGAAGGCCCAGCGCGCCCCTCGCGGCAGGCTGCCCTGGCAGAGCGGCTGGATGCGGTGAGGCCCCTCTACCGAGCAGACCAGGGGGGCCCGCGCCCCGACCCGGTCAGAGCCAAGCGCATCGCACAGGTGCTCGCGAGATGTGACATGGTTTGTGAACACACGTGAGATAACATATGTTTGTGGGGTTCCTCGGTAGCGTAATTTGTGCGAGCTCCTGGTCGCTCCGACCTCCTTGCAGCCTTTTGGGCTCGAGACGGGTGCTCGTGCCCGCTCGCTCGCGCGCGGGCGCGCGCGGGCGTGCGATTGGCGCCGCGCGGGGGAGGCCGGCATTGGCGCGGCAGGGATGCGCCCCCCTGCAGCGATGCGGCGCCCCGCCTTGCGGCCTTCGGCGCCAGTGGCCAG